CGTCGAAAACCGAGTGTGCACCGAAATTAATTTTGGTGTCCTTTAAAAACACCAAAATTGTAGATAGCTAATTCCTGAATAATATTTACCAGGATTCGACGATTTTTTTTTGCGAATTTCTGGGAAACCGAGTGTGCACCGAATTTAATTTTGTTATCCTTTAAAAACACCAAAATAGTACCCAATTCCTGAATAATATTTACCAGAGTTTGACGGTATTTAGTGGGTGCGTCAGCTGGCGTGATGTCACGCCGGCAAATATGTGTTTTGGGTCAGCGTGACGTCGAAAACCGAGTGTGCACCGAAATTAATTTTGGTGTCCTTTAAAGACACCTAAATTGTAGATTCCTAATTCCTGAATAATATTTACCAGGGTTCGATGTTTTTTTGCGAATTTCTGGGAAACCGAGTGTGCACCAAATTTAATTTTGGTGTCCTTTAAAAACAACCAAAATGGTACCTAATTCCTGAGTAATATTTACCAGAGTTCGACGATATTTATTGGGTGCGTTAGCTGGCGTGACGTCACGCGACCTAAAAAACATTTTCGCGAATTTCTGGGTAACCGAGTATGCTTTTACTATTTTCTCGGAAACCGTGTGAGTACTTAAATTAATTTTATAGGCCCTAAATAACACCTAAATAGTACTAAATTCCTGAAAATTTTTTATCAGTTTCTGGAGAAGCGGCTCAGCTAGCGTGACGGACGTCGATGTTTTGTAGAAATCCGAAAATGTTTTTCCCTGTGTTCACATAAAACCGCGGGAAAAAGAGGATCAGGTATAAAAACTATAGGGCTACGACGTGGCTTCTATATATGTTTAATCAATTACTCACCTTAAGCGAGTTGACAACTTGTGCTTCATTCCTTTCCTGCAAACCAGTTACTAACTGCATCTGTGTTAGATTTCTTAACTTTTGTCGTGAAGTTATTACTTCTGACCGCGCATTTTGAACAAATTCAATTTTCTTCAAATCTTCATCATCTACCAGTTGCGCCAGTTCATAGTGTATCTCTGCTTGTTTAAGAACATCCCTTGTTGAGCGTAACTTCGCAGTCAATGATAGTAATGTTCCAGCTGAGCGAAGCAAATGCGACAACTCATGTAAATGTCCCAGAACACGCGTTTGGTTATCAACCTGCTGATATTGGGTATCGATTTGTGTCTTAAGTTTGTGCCCAGCCGTACGGATTTGTTCTACATCACTTGCCAAGTTGTTGAGTGCAACATCAAACCGGCCAGCGTGTGTTGCTTGCTGCAATAAGGCACCATGCTTCTCGCGGACCTGCTGATGTAGATCGTCGTTCACATTTTGAAGGCGTTTTGATAGTTCTTGAATTTGTTCCTGAATTGTCGCGTTGGCATCAACTTTGGTTATTGCATCGTTTTCCAATTCTAAATCAACCCTGCATGTAGAAAAATAAGGACTACTTGTTACAGGAAATACTATTAGTAATTTCTAGCTTACATCGGAATTTTTACTTATAATTTCCAAAAAGATATAGATTCTCACATAAAGTAATCAAATCTAATCAAATGCAAGTAAAAAGTAAATAACAAAAACTTATGTAAAAAGTTGCCAGGTGAATGAAATATATAGTAGAACTGCAAAAACATCGGGCACTATCGATAGTTTCGATGTTTTAACTTTTTTTTAAAACATCGATGTTTTGGAACACATCAAGATAACCCAGCAAGAACGACCTAACGCATTCTCCAATACACTTACAAAATTGTCAATAAAAACCAACACATTTGCATATTAGGAGCGTTCCTTATCTCCCAGAAATAGTCAGAAAAAGTCCGAAGTAGTCAGATTTAGTCCAAAAAGCGTTCCGTAACTCGGAAATGACAGCGAAAATGAGAGAGCAACAATCAGTGAGAGTGACTCTCATTAGTCCGAAGTAGTCAGATTTAGTCAGAAGAATTTTTTCTGGCAAAATCCTGAAAAGTGTCAAACTCAACTGAATTTAAATTAACGGAAATTAAAGAATACGCAAAAAGTGAGAATAATCTAAAAAGTAAAAAAGTGAATTGAAATTGGAAGGAGGCAAAAAATAATTGATATAGTAAGTGTTTATTGTGCTTGTGCTTGTGTGAATGTGTTTTGTACATACATTTCCATTCTTATTTGACGTTAGCTTTGTTGTTGCCATTCTTTGGACTAAAAATTTGGTTTTTTGCGTTCCTTTACTTTTCCTGTTATTCTCTTTTAGTGAGCGCATTTTGCTTACGCTCTGGCATTTTGACACTTTTCAGATTTTAGTCCAAAAAGATAAGGAATGAACCTATTAGCGATATCCATATGCCATTCTTTGCGTTATATAACACGTTATTAATCGCATAATAATATTTGATTGAAAAGAGACAACTACATATAGTATAATATAATAGCGATTTCCATGTGAAAGAAAGAGAAAACTACTCACACTTGAAACGATTATGCGTTAGATTTCTCCAGGAGCCCTATGTAAAATGATGCAAAGTTTTTGAATTTCTCACACAAACTTTTTGTAGCACTAGGCGTATATAACGCATTAGTTAACAGATAGGGTGGGAACATTTTAGAATGGTGACCCCCGAGTACGGAATTATGGAAAATAGGGGGGGCTAGAGGGGGTTCTAAAGGGGGTATATGTAAAGTTTTAAAACGCGGAACCATATAGTTTTTAAGTAATTTGTTATTAAAGTTTGTGATTTTCACCAACTTATAATGCACTTTCCACCAAATTTACACGTTACTTACACTCAATATATGCGCAGTAAGAGTGTGCACGTTCAAACAAATAAATACTTTAAGTATATTACAGAGTTTTTATCAAAAATTGATTGTTGTTTAATTTTATGAGAGTACATGCAGAATATGTGCAAATGTCAGCAGGACTGTGTTGCCATAGCTAAAAAACCAAGAGTGGAAAGCAAGACCAAAAGAAAATACGATTAAAAGGAAAATACGATAAGGTTATTTTGTTCAGATTAAAATAAATAGTAGGGGGATCAGGGGCTGAACACCTTTCAGCGAAGGCGGCCTTCGGCCGCGCTTAGGGATTATAACCCTCACAACGTAGAATTCTTCTTTCTCTGTTGCCAAAGAAAAGGGGCCGAACACATTTTGCATAGAACTCCTTTCTGCGTAGGCGGCTTTCGGCCGCGCTTAGGGATTATAACCCTTACTACGTAGAATTCTCCTTTCTGTGTTGCCGGAAGAGGGGAATATGGCCCCAAGCATGGGCGTAGTCAGGTAGGGGCAGGGGGTGCTCCAGCCCCCCCTGACTTTAAAAATTTCCTTATATATATATAAAATAGTACCCTGAAATGCCAGCTTAATAGGGTCGAGCCCTCGCCCCCCCTAAATTTCATTCTGGCTACGCCGATGGCCCCAAGCCCCCTACTATTTATTTTTATCTGAACAAAAGAACCTTTCGTATTTTCCTTTTAATCGTATTTTCTTTTGGTCTTGCTTTCCACTCGTTTTGTTAGATATGGCAACACTGTCCTGCTGCCATTTGCACATATTCTGGATGTACTCTCATAAAATTAAATAACAATCAATTTTTGATAAAAAAGCTGTAATATACTAAGAGTATTCATTTGTTCGAACGTGCACACTCTAACTGCGCATATATTGGGTGTAAATAACCTGCAAATTTAGTGGAAAGTGCATTATATATTGTAAAATAGTGCCATACAAGTTGGTTAAAATTACAAACTTTAATAACAAATTCCTTAAAAAGTATAAGGTTGCGCGCTTTGAAACTTCATACAGGGAACTATTAGACCACCTCCCATATTTTCCACAATGCTGTACTCCTGAGTTACCAATCTAAAGCCCACAAACAAAAAATGCAGACCGATAGTACTTTTTACGCTGATTTCAACTATATAAATATTATTTGGCGCAATTGAAAAGTAAAGAAGATATAAGAGGGGAATTTTTTTTCGATATTTTAAAATATTAATATTTCCTAAACTACGTAACCGATTGAAAAAGTAATGATGTCAAAATAAAGCAAATTAATCTATCTTCAAGTTCATGTAATGTGTAATGATGTGTATGCTTGATTATATCTTTAAGCCAAAAATAATAAAACAGAAATAAAATTTTAAAATTTTGTCATAAAGTAACCTTTTTTAGAAAAAAGTGTATAATCAATGCTAAAGAAATGTATATTATTTAGAAAGTGCAAGTTCTTACCTTTAATTTGATATACATATTTTATTACGATCTGCTTTTGAGGTTTAAGAATTCAGTGATAAAAAAGATTAAAAGCATTTACAAGTAAGTAAGTGGCAAATGTGAGCTGATATCATAGTTTCTATTGCCCAGAAGTTCTTTCAGCGTAGGCGGCCTTCGCCCGCGCTTAGGGATTATAACCCTCACTAATTAGAACTCTCCTCTCTGTATTGCCGAAGAAGGGGGGCTGAAAACCTTTTGCAGAGAACATCTTTCTGCGTAGGCGGCCTTCGGTCTATTTTATGAAAAAATCTTAAAATTTTATTTCTGTTTTATTATTTACGGCTTAAAGATATAAACAAACATACACATCATTACAAATTTAGCCTGTTCCCGTACTTTACGTTTTGCAAGATTTCCAGGTTTTAGCCTTTAATAAACCTTATGTGAACGTGGCGTACGGGAACGACTTTGGACTAAATCCTGCAAAACCGGAAAATCGTAGACGTTCTAGAACGCGCTAATTATATCAACTTGAATATAGATTAATTTGCTTTATTTTAACATCATTACCTTTTCAATCGGTTACTAATGGGCTATTTTTGCTTACGCGTAAAAGCACATTTAGCGCATTTAGCACTAAATGCTACTCTAAATGTACATTTATCCATACAAAATTCGTCACATAAATGCAACTAAATGCAACTCCATTTTTGCATTAAGATTCTAAATGCTAAAAGCAACCCTGTGATCTTCCAAAATTTCCACTATTCGAACATGGTTTAATGATAAAAAGCATGAACCAAAAAGACAAGATCACGCGGGCAGGAGACTAGCCCGTTAGAATCGCATTTAGGAAAAAAGTTGAGCGATTTTGACATTAGCCTTTTGTTTACATTTCTTCGTTGTTTACAATTTGGTGGTGGCTTTTTACTGCAATTTTCTTCATTTTCGCTTGTGACAACGTGTGTACACATAAGTTAAGAAAAATTTTACACAACGGCATAATTTATAGAAGAATTTGCATAATAAAAATGATTTTTCATGCGTTCAACAATTTCGCGGTTTTCTCCGTTCTCTTCATTGTTTACTTCTTACAACAAAGATGGCGTCGAGATTTCGGCAGCTAGAAAATAACTTTTTTCGTTCTTTCCTTCCCGCGTGATCTTGTGTCTTTCGTTCATGGATAAAAAGTGGCAACATTGCTTTTCCGAGTATACAGTTGTTAGTTGCGTTTTAGTGATCGCCGATCGAGATTTCATTTATTATTTTACATTATTTGGATAAAGAAAAGTTAAGAAAATTCAACATCGATGTGATGCTGATAGAAATCTGGATCAATTTGTGATCAACTCTGTTTGTTTTGTTTATTAATTAGGTGAGGAAATTTTAATTGACAGCACCGACAAATGAATATATACACAAACAAATGTTCGGTTATGATTAAAACAAGTCAAGTTTTTGTATTGAATTTTTGGTTTAAAATTTATTTTTTCCTTTTCAGTAGGATTTTTAGCACATTATCTTCTGTGTGTGAATTGATAGTAATAGATACGGATCTGAATAAGCGACTGGAACACGGCTGTTTGGCAAAAGCATACGATTTCGAACTCGCGTAAATGTACATTTGCTAAATGCGATAGCATGAACGCTCTTCGAAAACATATGTTCGCAAAACGCAAAACGCTGCATAAGAGTCAATTTACACGATGGCTTTTCATCCTGGGTCATGCGTGTCGAGCTTGTAGGCAAGAAGTGTAGCGAAGTCAGCGGGGTAGGCAAGCACGGACGGTGAGCGAAATCGAGGGTTTTTTGACGTTTCGCTTTTATCGAGTTCACTTTTTCGTATTTTTGCTTTGAGTTCGCGATTCGCTCCGCTTTAATAATTAGGACGAAAGAGTTGACCAAAGAAAATTTTACGCTTAAATGTCAAAAATACGCAAGAAACGCCACAAAGAAAAAGTCATCGTGTAAATGTACGAGGATTTTCGAAGACTTTTTTTAAAAGGGAACGTGCCAAAAAGGCTGGGTGAAAAGTCGTCGTGTATATTGGCTCTGAGCGAAATCGAGGGGTTTTTTGACGTTTCGCTTTTATCGAGTTCACTTTTTCGTACTTTTGCTTTGAGTTCGCGATTCACTCCGCTTTAAAAATGAGGATGAAAGAGTTGACCAAAGAAAATTTTACGCTTAAATGTCAAAAATACGCAAGAAACGCCACAAAGAAAAAGTCATCATGTAAATGCACGAGGATTTTGGAAGACTTTTTTCAAAGGGAACGTGCCAAAAACGCAGGGTGAAAAGGCATCGTTTAATTGACTCTAATGGGCTGTTTTTGCTTACGCGTAAAAGCACATTTCGCGCATTTAGCTCTAAATGCTACTCTAAATGTACATTTATCCATACAAAATTCGCCACCTAAATGCAACTAAATGCAACTCCATTTTTGCATTAAGAATCTAAATCCTAAAAGCAACCCTGTGATCTTCCAAAATTTCCACGATTCGAACATGGTTTACATTATTTGGATAAACAAAAGTTACGCAAATTCATACCTCTGCTCCTGATGGGATACCGGTCAGCAGTGCATGAAACAACCGGTAA